ATAACCAAGTTAGCTTTCCATCATGGCGACACGATCATCAAGGCACCATCTTTTCCGCTACTTCGGTCATCTCCACGATCCATCATTGTTTGTATTATAATATACGTGGATGCAACGCATAGATGTAAATAATCCACGACAACCAAAACTCTTAGAAATTCGATCATGCCTCGCAAGCTAACGAGATAGCTCTAACATGCTAGGCTATGTATCTAGGTTGTCGAACTAGGCACTAATCTCCCATAATGTTTTAGTTATAAAATCCATAGGTGTTTCTTTATTAATTAAATACATATATATTTGAACTAGGGCTCATTTAATTACCTTAACAACTAATTTCTATGGAGCTACAAAAATTATTGTGAGCACCTAATATTGCTAGAAATCTACTATAAAAATTTTAGGGCTGGTACTTCTACCAATTCATCACAATAATTCCTACAAGTTCTTGTTTTACCCATTTTAAGTGCTTCAATTTAATTAGTCTACTCTAGAAAATTCTATGAAACTAAGTGAACAAAATACATTATCAGATAGGTCATGATTTTAGGAACCTAACAAAATTGGTTTGGTATTTTTGTGATTTTTCTACATTTTATTATCAATTTTACAAGACCACTGCTTTGGAATAAAACACAAAACCAGAAAGGGAAAAACTACGTGGCTCGGTCTGGCCCAGCACTGCCCGCTCGGCCAGCCACCGGCCCAGTGACAGGAGGCCTAGGCGGGGGTGGGGCGCACGCGCGGCCATAGGTCGTGGCCCATGGCGTGACGAGCGTGGCCCAACGCAGCGCGGGTGTGAGCGGCCCAGACGGGGCAGGCGGTGGCCCAGCAGAAGAGTACCCGATCTATCCCTTTATTACTCGGCACTATTGCAACAAAGACACGTTTCATATATAAGCCCTGAAAAGAACTTGTCTTCACGACTGGGAAGTCCCTGGCGCTCTCGCGCTCGCCGACGCGGCCCAGACCGGCATAGAGCAAGTATGCCATTTAACTAGGGGCCCCTTCGGCGCACCTAAGGGGCCGATGGGCACCTACTGATCAAACGACGACGGTTGGACAAAGGTGGGATGATGGGGGGCGCCCTAGATTACGCCACAGCGGCAGGAGGTGGTTCGCGGTGATGGCATGACCGTTCTGGTGAACGAAAAGACTAGAGACGGGAAGGAAGAGGTGCGTGAGCACCAGTGGCTCACCGGAAACCAAGCTGCGGTGGCGGTTGAGGCGGAGGCGTGCTGAGGTGGCCTGGCCACGTGCGACCGATCGAGCAACTACGCACCGTGACTAACACCAACGCGCCAGCTCCCAACCCATGTCATCCCTAGCCAAACGGAGGTGAGCACCAGCGGTAGGGAGTCAAATTGGGTGTGGACATGCCATCAATTACATTGTTAAACTTCAGATGGAGACTTACCCCCAACTCCTAGCCGCGGTGGCGCCCAAGGCCGGCGGCGAGTGGAAATCAAAATTGGCCGTTGACGGACCGCAACTGAGCTAGATAGGAAAAGGAGCGCCTAGCTAACCTCTTAGACTACCCGCAGGTGCGAGGAATTAGACTGCAAAGCCCAGAGCTAGGTAAATTGGAAGCGAAAAGGGAAGCTCTAGCCATAGCCATGGAGCGTGCACCTGCGCGAGAGCGAGCGGCTTAAGACGAGGCGGCTCCATGCGAAAGTTGTAGCAAGAACACGTGCACACGGTGATGGCCCACGAAAATTGGCGCGACGCTCTTGAATGGAGCGGTAAAAATCCGAGCGGCTCACGGCGTCGACTAGCGGGAGTAGGGCGATGCAGTGGAGCATCGTATTGCCACTGTACCTAGGGCCAACGATCATCATGGCAGCAGTGGCATATGCTGAGGCACGGCACGGTAGATAGGACGATGGGTGGAGCGAGCGCCACGTCGGTCACACGATGGCTGCCGCGGTAGTGATAGGGCCATGCACGGCTTCGGCCGATAAGCGCTGCACGCGATGATGCGGCAGAGAAGACCTGCGGCTTAGTCCGGCCAGCGAGGGCGACCGTGGCCAACCCCTAACCTGCATGTAGCCGGCAGCTTGCAAGGCCAACCACGTGCACGACGGTGGCCAAAGACTCGATCGAGAAACGGCCAGCGCGCTGGCAGACTGTGGACACGGGCTGCGCCATGACGAAGCGATGATGTGCGCATTTAAAAGTGAAACAAAAGCCACTGATCATCTCGACTCAGGTTCAACCGGTTCCACTAACCTGAAGTCGATGCTAACACCTAATTGGCGAAGCAACTCTTATGACCAGAGGATAATCGGAGAGTAAGTTAGAGCGACGTCAAGATAGGTTTGTCACGCTGAACGACAGTCCACGAACAGAGCGTCAATGGCATAGCTACAACGCGTTTCGACTAAATTTAGGCAAATTTTGTGACGACAACTCCAACCCAACCGTGGACTTCACCACGCTAAAGTACTCACTTAGATGCAACCAACACTACGAAAACATAGACCTAGTGTTTAAGAATTTTAATCAAAATTTCAATGCCAAAACGACATCGTCGTTAGGTTTCCAGACTTAAATTGTTTAGTTCTAGAAGTTTGAAATTACATTCCACTTTTAATTCTTGAGCTATCAAAATACCATGGAACAATATCTATTCACTAAATCAATGATTGCATTTTCATTTATTAAACTTATGCTCCAAATTTTATTTAAGTACCAATTACAAGTTATATTTTATTTTTGTTTATGAAAATTGCTTCTACGTACAAACAATTAAAAGTATTTTTCCTATTTTCTCGTTAGGATTTTCATTAGCACTTTTAAGTAACTAATTCACTATATTTATAGATCTATTTCTCGTGCCACAATCTCAAGAAGTAGCGAGCTCGTAACACCGTGAGGTGTTACACCCTCACCCCTCGCCTCTACCTCGGATCCCATCTCAAGATTAACCTAGGTAACAGTCGATGCTTCTTCTTGTTGTTCTTGGGGATGGACCTATAGACACGAATGAGTATAATTAACCGATGAGCTAAGATCGAATCGGAAAGATCCGACACCAAAACCGAATTCGGTCACAAATTCATCTCTAGTTTCAACTAGTCGAATTTATTAAGGTTATTCGGTTTTCAAATCCACTATCTCCAACAGGTGACGATAACCATACCTAAACCCAAAATACATGCTGCATGTTACTTTAGCGCAAAAAAAAAAAATAGTCTCCAACAGGTAGACATACCAAGGAGGCATTTTAAGCGAGGTCGGATGCAACCCAAATATACGTCTGCTTTCGCATCCTCAGGCAAAGCATCATCTTGCGCGCTAGCTCCGGCCCCACCGCTCAAACTCCTGCTGCCCGGTCACGCGTGCATACATGGGGGTCTTCTTTTGCGTTCTCTATTGGAAAACATCAAAAATAGGTAGTGACCTTTTTGCTATAGCGCCACGCATTTCATCTGTTGAGACTTCTATTCTGGTCATATTTGTTGGAGATAGTCTTAACCGAAATACCCTATGTAAACCGAAGTTTAGGCCCAACAGGAGTTTCTAGCCCAGCTGCTTAAGCCCATTTACTAAACCCTACCATATCAGTTCACCAACACACCCACCCCATGCCCCCCCTAGGACAGACGGCCGCCACCCCATCCCCCGCCGCTCTTCGCATCTCTCTCCCTCCGCTCTCCACTAACAATACTGCCAGGCGCCGACTGGCGGCGCTGCGGCCGCTGCTGCCCACTTGCTCTGGCTATCAGATGACTCCTCCCGCACGCAGCTGAGAAGGTCAGAATCAGGCAAGCAGGGGCTTCAGGCTCAAGAATTTCAGACTGCTATCTCCAAGAACTAAACACTGAGTTGATGTTTCTTTTGCTTTTCTGTACTGCGTGTGCAAGTACATGGTGCGTTGGCGCCTACTGCCTGCTAGCTACTTCTACTTTTGATGTTTTGGCCTTGTGATTTCTGTTGCAATACCATGAAAGACTAAGCTGTTGTGAAGACGCGTGATTTAAAATTTTTATCCGTCAAAAATATCTTGGCAAAGGGAAATCCGATTTGGGGATTCACTGCTTTTATTTTTGTTGTGATGGAGATGACCGAAACCGAACCGAAATGCTCGGTCTTTAGTTTTGTTATTACGAACCGATCGTTCTTGAGGTTTCTGATGACCGAAAAACTGAACCGGATTTTTCGGTCTGACCGAATGCCCACCCTGCTAACAGGGATTGGGTCAATTGGTGCCGCCGCTAAGGCTATTAATGTCGTAATGCGAAATGCTAGTCCATGGTAGTAATGGGGTCTTGCGCGGATACCTCTTCCGGGTCTTGTTATTTGTCATATTTGGATCTGGATGCGAGGTGTGAATCTTGGATTTAGTTCAGGCGTGCCCCGAACTGGCTCAATTTGTTGCCTCTGTTCAACATGAATATGGTTGGTGTGGAGCTGAAATATTATATGTTGTGCTCTCGCTGTGGGTTTCTTTCTGAATTACGACTCACGAATTACGACTCACGAGACGCGAACTTGATTTTGCCGCTGTTGGGTAAAATTCAGAGGCTTGGTCTTATCACCTACTTTAGTCACCAAGGCGTGCACACAGATCTAATAAATTAACACATGGATCCTTGCACAGAGATGATATATGTGTTTTTTCTTGGAAAACCCTGGGTTGGTTTTCGATTTATGGTGTTTGCCTGAGCTTGACTGTAACAGTGAAAACATTTCAATCAATAAATACACATCCTGATGATATGTCCGTAAGTGTAGTCCATGATACTGTTTCCAACTCATTCTTTTGCAGTCTTACTCCTTTTGTACATAAAGGAAGATGGGAGCATATGCGATGACTGGTATGCAGATGATGGCACAGCGCCCTTGCATCCCAGCCTGCAGGCAAATGCTTGGGTCGACATCAGCACTATCTGCATTTGGAAGGGCAATTTGTACCAGAACTGGCTTTTTGCTGCTCTTCTAAAGCCACATCAGCAGGACCACTGGTTTCTTCAAATTGCAAGAGGGTTGTGAGGGCAATGTCGCAGAGAGGTGCCCAAGGCCTTCCCATTGATCTTACAGGTAAGCTGAACTAAGATATCCATCCAGAAATGCAGATTGTTAGTGGTATAGTTCTAATGGTTCATGTCTTTGCTTATGCACATTTGTGCTTCTGTAAAAATTGTATGTAATCATGAGTCCATCACATTTTTTCTGTGTTGATGTACATGATCTGGCAATCCTTTTTTTATCTATGGGATCTGAACTAATGCACCTCTTCGATCACTGCAAGTTTTCAGTTGTCAATTATCTTGCAAGTTTTCAGGTAAAAGAGCATTTATTGCTGGAGTTGCTGATGATAATGGTTATGGTTGGGCAATTGCTAAGGCTCTTGCTGCCGCTGGTGCTGAGATTCTTGTCGGTACATGGGTGCCTGTAAGTTGATCTCATTTGTGAAATTTATCAGACTGGATGTTCTAGTGTGAAATTATACTGGAGTTATCAAAATTTTGCAGGCGTTGAACATATTTGAGACAAGCTTGAGACGTGAAAGTTTGATGAATCACGGAAGTGTGTGCATCTAATTAACAGTAGCTTGAGGCTTTGAGCATAATTGAAGTTTTCTTTATTCTACTTCAGTGTTTCTTGATGGAACTGTTGTTATCTTTTTGACTTTACAAGTATTTGATTCAGGCTACCTGATGGATCTCTTATGGAGATTGCTAAAGTATATCCACTGGACGCAGTTTATGACACCCCTGAGGATGTTCCTGAAGATGTAATGCTCATCATTTATGATGGTTCCGTTATCATTTTTCTTTCATGCTTTATGAACCTTTTGTCCATGTTGCAGGTTAAAGCAAACAAAAGATATGCTGGAGCTTCAAACTGGACCGTTATATTAGTTGTAAATGCAATGTGCCTTTGCACCCATCAAGCAGCAATCAAGCAGCATCATTGCCGTGCTATGAACTTTTTCTTATCCAGTGCTTGATTCCTATGTTTTTAAAATCTGGTAGGAAGTTGCTGAGACTATAAAGAATGATTTTGGTAGCATTGACATCCTTGTACATTCTCTCGCCAATGGTCCTGAGGTTAATTTGCCATAAAAAAACTTTATATTTGTTGTTTCATTGCCACCATCAGGAGCATTTAGTTGACCTTTTCTTTTGTCATCACAAAGGTAACAAAGCCACTGATGGAGACATCAAGGAGAGGATACCTTGCTGCAATTTCAGCATCTAGTTATTCTTATGTTTCTTTTTACTTCAACACTTTCTTCCCATAATGAATCCAGGTAATATTCCATACTGATATGCTGTGCCGATTTTCTCTTCTGCTCCTATGTGTTGACTCGATTTGGTGATCCCTTTTGCTGTCAACACTATGATATTGACTCAGGACTTTATTTTTGGGCAATTACTCATCTGCTCAAGGTATCATTATATTTAAAGTGAGCAAGGTTTTAGTACTATGTTTAACTAGTGTACATGTACGCTGGAAAGGTTGAATATTCCAGCAGCATACTTTACCTTGTGCTATGTGAATTATGAGCCCTCTTAGATTGGTGTTGTAATCTGACATACTCACATTTAGCCCATGCACCAGTGTAGTCAGTGTTTGTTTCCTGCCGCACTAGTGTGCAAATTTAATCCTTCCATGAGGTAGCCCTTGCCACATTTTTTCTACTTGTATAAACATAGCAAAGAGCAAAAGACAATGTTTGTCAGCTCTTAAGGCTCGCCACACGGGATAAATTAAGGAACCGCAATCACTGTTAAGCCAAGCACCAGGCATGTGAAGTTGCCAAACATAGCTTTACATTGGTAACAATACACTATGACAGACTTACCATAAAATGAGGCCACCGCTACTAGCATTGTATGTGCCTTGGTGTGGTTAAATTGCACTCTAACATGCTTGTTTAATAAAAGTATTTCTTATTCTCGTCAGATAAGAATTTATTTGTTTTGATGTGTTTTACCTTTCTTTGACACTGATTCACTTTTGAAAATAATTTGCAGGAGGTGCTAGTATCTCTTTGACCTACATAGCTTCTGAAAAAGGACAATTCCTGGGTAAATATTTCTCTATTGATTTCACAGCTAAGCCATCAGCCTCATTACTTATGATTGTTTTGGTGATTGCTTTGTAGATATGGTGGTATATGAGTTCAGCAAAAGCAGCACTTGAGAGTGATACAAGAGTACACACTTTTCTTGAGAGTCCAATGGTGCTTCCCCTATGCATATAGTTACTTACAAGCCTTTTTTCTGTTCAGGTTCTTGCTTATGAAGCAGGTCGAAAAGGCAAAATCAGAGTGAACACCATATCAGCAGGTAACTATTTTTTCTTCTTTTCCTTTCCCAAGAAAGTAAACAAGCCCACTTCAGGAAATCTTGCTGAGCAGAATTTACATTTGGGAACATCACTTATACAAAATTAGAAGATAACTGTAGTTTACAGTTTGTCTAAGGCTTAAATATTTATTACTAGCACTTGCATTGTTGTATGTCATGCATTGCATCTCAGGAGTCTGTGTCAAAATTTAATGAAGGAAGGCAATTAAAAGCATCTAGGCCCCCGTGCTGGGTTTTAGTGATTAATGACGACACGATTTAGATTACTATGTGACTAACGTGTGTTTTGTAGAGGCAATTTGGGTTAGGTCATGGTCATGGAAATTGATTAGGCAATCATGGTTGTCATGCCCTCATTGATGGAAATCATTTTGCTTTTTCAAAGGATGGATGACAAAGGTAAAGGATGGACTAGTTCTAAGTATGTCGCTTTGTGCTGGAGAGACACTTAGAGTAGTTTAGGACTTTGGCTTTCTTTTTGTCCATACTATTAAGGAGTATAGGACTAGTAGTCTTGAATTTATAGGTGAGTCTAGTGGATTAGGTGTGGTGCACACTTGTCAAACCTAGCCCTAGATAGCTCGCAGAATAGCCCAAAGATCAATTGGAGTCAACTTCATTCATATAGGATTTTGAGTTGGAAGTTAATGGAGGGTCAAAAATGACCGATCAGATGCTGGAGGGGTGAGTCTGGCCGGCTTCATTTGATTAACTATAGTTGTCTTGTAATCGACTCAGATGTCGAGGGAGGAGCACTGAATGCTGGGGTGCTTCACGCCCTTCCCATTTCGCGAGAGGTTCTAGAGAGGCTTTTTCTGACCGGACATCGCTCGGTGTGTACGATTTGACGCTACTCAAGAGTCCAACAATCAATCGCAATTCTGCATCGACCGGACGTTGAGTGGAGGAGCACCGGACGCTGGGTGCAAATCAATGACCGGAGCATCCAATTCCCCTCGACCGAGCATCCGGGGCCAACCCAGAGTGATGACTCAGCCTCCAAACGTTATGTTTTGAATGAGAGGGTATAAACAAGCTACTCCACTCATCGATAAAGGTCTCTCTTGCCCATTTGTTCAAATGAGAAACACCTTTGGAGTGCAAGGGAGAGAAAGAGCCTAGTGGAGTGATTGGGAGATTTGATAATCCAAGATTAAGGACCTCATTAGTGCATAGTGAGTAGCAAGTTGCATCCACCTTACTCATTAGCCTTGTCTTGGTCAAGTGAGAGTTTGTGCTTGTTACTTCTTGGTGATCGCCATCACCTGGGGATGGCTCGATGGTGATCGGGAGCTTAGTGATCATCCCTGCAGAAGCTTCAAGATGACCCAAGCTGTTGTGAGCGCACAGAGATACATTCACCATGGAGTGTCAAAGAACCAGCCCATAGAAAGGACTCTGATCCCGGCGCAGATCAAGGGGGAGCTACACCTCATGCACGGTGCTCCAACGAGGACTAGTGGGAGTGGGCGACTCCGACACCTCGCAAAACATCACCATATTCCTTTCCTCACTTATGAGCATTTACATTTGAGCAATTCATTCTCTATGCCTTTTACATTCCTAGAATTGCCATGCTAGGAGTAAGATTGGAACCTAGGGTGCAAAACTTTATGCAGAAAAACAATAGAAACACATTTTAGGCACAAGGGGGGAAATGGGCTAAGGTAGTAGGACTCTAAGTATTGCTAAATTTAGAATTAGCCCACTCACCCTCTTTGGGCATCTTTTGATCCTTTTCAATTGCCTATCGTGAGCTTCGTGGCTCCCCTAAATTAGGCTTAAACCGCCTAGAGCAAGATGTCCCAATGGGGATGAACCCCTCCTATCTTTTGAGGGAGATGATTTTCCTTATTAAAATTTGCATGGAGGCATACTTTAGAGGCTTTAGATGTTGGAGTTCTTAGAGCCGCCTCACAAGGCTTCCCAAAACCTAAGGATCCCACCAACCTTCAAGGCAATGAAGTTAACTACGAGAGAGTGGAATGCAAAGGCTAGAAACACCCTTTTTAGAGGCCTTTGCATGGATGTTTTTAATCGTAAAGCTGAATCCACAAAGATGCCCATGTACTATGGTCGGACATTATCAGCGCCCATGAGGGAACCAAGAGTGAGCATGAGGAACGCTTACCACCTTGTGATGAAAAAGGTTAATTCATTTGAGATGCTTCCTAGAGAAAAGCTAATGAGATGTATTCACGCTTGAATGTTCTTGTAGAGAAAGTCAATGGCTTGGGCTCACACAAAATGCAATCCTCCGATGTTGTGAGAAAGATCTTGAGTGTCCTCCCATTGACAAATATAGGCATATTATGATAGTGCTTCATCAAGGTGATCTTCCACCGCTACACCAACTCAAATATTAAAGATCAATGCACATGAGATATACATGCACATCACTCCACAAGATGGCTCTTCTTCCACCAAGAAGAAAGATTTGCATTCAAGGCTGCCAGATAAGAGAAGAGGGGCAAAGCAAGAGTTGATCATGATAGCTCAAGTGATAATGAGATTGATGATGCAAGTCTTGCTTCAAGGTGAGAACTACCAAGATGCTTAAGAAGCTAAACAAGAATGGTGTCAAGTTTGATGGCAAGAAGAAGAAATTCTTCACTAGTAATAGAAGGAAGCCCATCTCCAAAATGGATTGCTATAATTATGAAGAACTTGGTCATCTAGCTCATCAATGCCCAAACCAAAGAAAGACAAGTACAAGAAGAAGCACAAGGGCAAGAAAGATGACTCAAGTGATGAAAATGATGATGAGAAGAAGAAGAACAATCCATACAAGAAGAAGGATGGCAAGAATAAGGAATTTCACAAGAAGAAGAAGAATGGCAAGGCATATATTGTTGGTGATTGGCTCATGGATATTGAATCATCAAGGGCTCATCCAATGATGAAAGTGAGAATAAGAACAAGAAGGTGGTCGCCTTGTGATTGATTCTTCACTATCTTCACCGACATCACCGCCGGCCATCCTCTCACACACCTATGCCTTATGGCCAAGGGTGAACGGAAGGTAAGGCAAAAATGATGATGATAGTAGTGGTGATGATAATGCTAAATGATGAAAGTGGTAGTGATAGTGATGAAGAATTTGAATCACCTTCTTATGATGATCTTGTCAAGTTGCTAAACCAATACACTAAAAAATCATTAGAAAGACAAGAGCTAAAAAATGAAAAGCTAGAACTTGAGAAGGACTCGCCTTTAGCAAAGTATGACATAGCTGAAAAAGCTAATGTTGAGCTTAGAGAAGAAAAATAAAATTGTGTCATCCAAACTCAAGGAGCTCAAATCCTCTAAAAAGGAGCTTAGAGAAAAACATGATAAACTTGAGGGGATACATAATGAGCTCACCACTAGTTATTACAATTCTGCTAAAGGAAGAGTACACCAATCTCAAGATTAATCATGACAATCTTGTTCTTTCTCATGAGTTATTATTCAATGAGCCACATGATGCTACTAATAATGTTGTTAAGATTGATATAGCTACATCATGTGATGACTTGATTGTTGAGAGCATTGGAGCAAGGTTCTAGTAGCAAAGACAGAAAGTGGTTGAGTCCTCGAGCTAATTATGATGATTATGTCAAGCTCAAGAATGAGAATGAAAAGCTCAAGAAAG